ACGTCAGTTCAGCGAGGGAGCCTTATCCTCAATATCTGAATATCACAACTAGTATTACACCCGTGAAGAGCCATGATAGAGTTGGTCTTCAGCAACCCATGCTTGTCGTAAGAGGCGACTGACGGGATCGGGTAATTAGGCTTGCTGACTTGGTTGATGCATATCATCGTATCCCAATTGCTTATATCGATACTCATGATATCAATCAATGGGGTGGTCTGATCCAGATTTGATTATTTACAGGCCGCCGTCATATAGCTGGAACATTTTGCTGTGTTAAACAACAAACAAACGCAGCCATTATTCCAGTGTACCCCTCGTTCAGATTACGATCCACCATCTCCGTACTCGTGGGTTTCACCAAAGTGGTAAACGTCCAGAATGTGCATTACTTTGGGCTTTCCTCCCACATCGAACCGGACAGGCCGTGTTGTAACTGAAATACTGTTCAAAGCGGCGTCTAACCTCACTCACTCTGTGGATGCTCATGTTATCGGAAATATATGGACACTGTATGGCTTGGTCTGTAAGTTTGTGTAATATATGTATTATGTTATACCGTAGTGAAGGGGTTGTTACATAGTCTAATCAAAACAAAGTGAAAAGGGACATTACGTTGCGTACCGATGCGTATCAATAGTTAAAGGGCTGACCTTTGACATTTCGGAGGATACTTTTCCCGAATATACTGAAAAAATACTTTGGTATCAGGTTTTACCTCCAAAATAAACCGTTCAGTGGACATACTGGTTCTTCTGAAACATAGGGTGATGTGTGTCAAAAGGGTCTTTGGCTCTCGTTTCAGAGAAAAAAACTTATCCCAGGACCCTGGTCTTCGACATGACGAACTAACGCCTTAACCACTACCCCATCTGACTGAACTTTAAAAGAATTACTATGGTGCACTGATGTCCAATCTGCAGACCTATTTCTCTTGTCCGATACCTCATTCTGTGAAGATCTGACAACCCTCCATAGGTCGCGTCAGATGCAATTACTAATCAGGCGAACAGGGTCGAGGCTTCCAAATTCTGGGCATAGCGAGCTGAGCAGCATATCTGAGTTCTTTATCTCGAAAATGAACATAATCTGACAGTTCCGAATGTTAAATAATAAAGGCAGCGCTATTATATCGTGGTGGATATTTCATATCGTTTCTGAGAACCATAACTTATCTACCCACAGGGGTGTACAATCGAGGGAATATTTGTATAATCTGTAGGTTTTCGTGGTTAAGAGAGAAATTTCAGTTTCTAAGTGGCAAAGAAGTGAAGCCGAATGTATAAAACTGATATCTGACTGGTTCAAGAACCTGCTCATATACTTCATTTAGATTGGACGAGTTTTGATATGGACCATTTGTCAGATCTTGACGAAGAGAAGTCTCGTAATGCAGTAAAATATCTGATTTTAATGAGATTGCGGTGATGTGTATCGGGATGAAACTGGCATACTCATCATCCCTATAGCTGTTCATGCATTGGACCATTTTAACAGAGGCTGGTATAGACATATTGATACACAGAATTCTCCAGAGAAGAGGGTTTTGATGAATATGCTTATGCCGTGTGAAGACCTTATCTTCCATAGACAGACGCCGCTCGTATATCATGGCCTGCAATTCTGATTGTTTGCAAGCGGGACCCTGAATAAGACGATATAACATCGCATTAAATGTGAATTCTTAATGTGATGGGTCAGTGTTCTGTCTCGGTGATGTGGCTATCCATGCTGGAGACGTGCGGCTGATTCAACTTGGACAGAGTTAGCCAGAGAACCCATAGATTATACCATCTTTTGGGAACAACAATCTTTTGTTCTTTAAGGATTAACATAAACAATTAACTGTCTCTAGAAATAGAATATCGTTTGCAATTTCACTATATAAACTACCCAGGTGAAATAGATTCCGGAAGTATTGTATGGAGGTAAACTGTTCCGCTGAAAGAGATTCCGGAAGTAGTATATAGACGTGAACTGTCCTGCTGAAATAGATTCCAGAAGTATTGTGTAGAGGTGAATTGCCCAGCTTTAACATATTCCGGAAGTATTGTGTAGACGTGAACTGTCCTGCTGAAATAGATTCCGGAAGAATTGTGTAGACGTGAACTGTCCTGCTGAAATAGATTCTGGAAGTATTGTGTAGACGTGAACTGTCCTGCTGAAATAGATTCCGGAAGTACTGTGTAGACGTGAACTGTCCTGCTGAAATAGATTCCGGAAGTATTGTGTAGACGTGAACTGTCCTGCTGAAATAGATTCTGGAAGTATTGTGTAGACGTGAACTGTCCTGCTGAAATAGATTCCGGAAGTACTGTGTAGACGTGAACTGTCCTGCTGAAATAGATTCCGGAAGTATTGTGTAGACGTGAACTGTCCTGCTGAAATAGATTCCGGAAGTATTGTGTAGACGTGAACTGTCCTGCTGAAATAGATTTCGGAAGTATTGTGTTAACGTGAACTGTCCTGCTGAAATAGATTCCGGAAGTATTGTGTAGACGTGAACTGTCCTGCTGAAATAGATTCCGGAAGTATTGTATTGAGGTGAATTGCCCAGCTTAAACATATTCAGGAAGTATTGTATAGACGTAAACTGCCCAGCCGAAGAGCGGTTTTACACCGCTTTTAGAAGTATTCCAGCAATATCACGACAAGGGACACTGGAAAATGGGCTTCACACGTTGTACCCATGTGCGGAATCAAACCCGGGTCTTCGGCGTGACGAGCCAACGCTTGAATTACTAGGCTACCCCATCATGCCCCAGCTGAGCGAGATCCAGGACGTATTGCAAGCAGGTGAAGTAAGTGGTGGCATGTGGTCCTTTGGACAGAGGTCACAAATCAGGTGGGGCGGTCGGGTAGCCTAGTGGTTAAAGCGTTGGCTCTTCACGCCGAAGACCCGGGTTCGATTCCCGACATTGGTACAATGTGTGAAGCCCATTTCTGGTATCCCCCGCCGTGATATTGCTGGAATATTGCTAAAAGCGGCGTAAAACCATACTCACTGACTAACTGACAAATAAGGTAAAGATAAGCAACGTCAGTGGCGGAGAATAGTTGGATGGGTGACCGCCTTAGGCAGCTTGACTCCTGAGAGGTTCCAGGGCTTTTGTGGAGCACCTTGTGGGTCAGCTGATAGAGATTCTGGAAGTATGGTACAGAAGTGAACTGCCTAGTTGAAAGCGATTGAAGAGGTGCAGAGACGAAATAGTCAGCTGAAAGAGATGTGCTAAAGCACATGTGGTGTCTCCTTAGACAAGTAACTACTTACATGCCTCTGTTCACCCAGCAGTAAAAATGGGTACTCGGTAAGATCAGATGGTATTGTAACTGACAGGGCGTGTGGTCCCAGGGGAGGCGAGAAGGAAAATCAAGTGCACACTGATCCATTGCCCGGGGTAATAACGTCAGCGCTTTGAGCGTGTGTATAAAGTCTATAACGTCATCGTCGACATAGTTGAAGCGGTCAGCTGAAAGATACACAGAAAGAATTGTGAGGATTCAGGAAACATTACAGACAACGTCGTTATTTTAGACACTAATTCTATATTAACGTTACCATGCAATTGGGCCTCAATAGTGAGTGAATGTTGTTATATGCCACAGTAAGCTGTACATTATTACGATGTGTAAGCAACAGTTTATTGTTCTTGGGCCTATTCCGTTCTATTGTGGATATCATCTGAACGTGTATTTAAGTGATATCAATTTATATGATAGTGATTAGGGAAGTAATCGAGAAATAATTTGAACGCTGGTTTCACCAAGTCGATAAACTAGTAAAAGTATACACTTGAAAATTGGATGTGACCAAAACATTACAACGTAATCAAAAGGTCGCCAAAACACTACACACTTCAGGTCCAAAACACAGCTATGATACCAGCATCAAATACATCACCCTCTAATGGTCATGTCTTGTTTGTTTCATCTTCAGCCAGCATCAAACATGGGTGTATACTTTCTTGTGCCCGGCAGTGTATAAACGTCCATGAAGTGAATCATGTTTTAGTTTTGCTCCCACATTGTTTGTCGTTTTACGCCGCATTCTGCAATATTCCAGCTATACGGCGGCGGTCTGTAAATAAGCGAGTCTGGGCCAGACAATCCAGTGATTGACATCGATCTTGGCAATTGGGATACGATGACATGTATCAAAGAAGTCAACGAGCCTGACCACCCGATCCCGTTAGTCGCCTCTTACAAGCATAGTTGCCTTATACGGCAAGCATGGATTGCTGAAGACCTATTCTGATGCTCCCACATTGAGCTGACACACCGCAACAGGAGTGAAATCCTGTTCATGCAATGTGGCGTTAAACTCAACTCACTCTTAAGTAGCTATGTTTCCATTTCCTCATTGTATTTAAAGTGCTCGATTAAAGCTGTTCCTACAGTAATCCCTGAACAAATGCTAATATCGCTCGGCATTGTTGATACATGCCTATTTATATACCACAATGGGATGTTTTGTGTTAAATATTTATAAGCTGCGCAAATATCATTGTGGGATAGTAGCTTTCTCAGCACAATATGAACTTTATAATTATCTGAAGGGATTTTGGAAAAAGCGCTTGAATCAGGTTTTGTCTAGCGCTCACTTAGTGTGAAGTAATACCTTGTAATATCGAATTAATGTATCGACCCAACTTTCACCACAACAGAGTTGATCACGGAGTCATATATCGCAGATCAATCATCGAGATATCCTCTAAAAGCTGTGCGTCAGATTCATAGGCAGCGCTTGTGAGATGTTCGTGCGATTTTCTCAAACATGCTACTGATCTCCATCTCTGAATGCATGGGTAACTTTACTCTAATGCATTGGAAATACGGTCTGGCATTCCATATCGATGACTATCAACAATACTGTCCCAATTACTCGTGTGTAAAGCCCACTGATTTCCTTATAGGCTGGTAATAGTCTGATTGTCCGACGAGTCCCATGTCGTCTGCTAATTTTCGTGTCGTCTGCTGTCGTGAAGTGCAGCGTGCTCCCGTCCACTGGCCACATCAGGCCGTCTTCTCGGTCTCCTCTGCTATTTAGTAGCGTTTTGGGACTAGGGAGTGATAAACATTGATTGTGCGACCAACGGAGCGATATAATCATGTCCAACCTTCAGAGGTGCAACCAGGAGGAGACAGGCCAGACATGGAGGGACAATGACGCCGGGGACTTGTGACTGCTGTCCGGCCTGCTAGAGACATGTCTAAATGACAGCTGGAAATGCGAATGTGGAAACACGATGGTGCAAGCGGGGTTGATGTCGTGCCTATGGTGTTAAACAATACTAAAAGTATCCGACATTACGCAGCTGGTGTTTTCCTAACTGCTGACGCCTGACATACACGAAGATGCCATGGGGAAAAGGACGGGGGAAAAGGAACGCTTGACGTATAGGGTATTCCTCACTGAGGCAATGGCGGTAACGGGAATTGGTCATCGCTGATGTAAACACACATGGTGGTCGACATGTGCCAGTAGGTGTGGTAAGACATCTGCCAGGTGAGTCCCTCTAATACTTACCTTCGATTAATAACAAAGGCGGTGGATCACGCCTTGAGGCTTTCGCATGTGTCCAGGGTTGCCTGTGTTACATGAAGGTGTTAATTGTTTCGTCCATTACGTGTCCGTTAGAATGAATCATTTGTGTTGATAGACAAGTCCGAGGTGTCTTTGGTCCTGTGTAGAATGAAAGGTGCAGATGAGTTTTTTGACCGGTTATTGTTTTCAAACTGTTTTGTCGATATGTCATGAAAATAGTTTCAGACGGACGTGATTTTCAACTTCACGAACTAGACTGACGAACGACAGGAGCAGATGGTATTCGTAAATGGGACACCGAAGCTCTTTAAAAGACCTCTATTAGTACACATTGTATTTATACCACTAGACGTCGGACAGTAAAAGCCGAGCAACACGGAGCTGCTATTTCACAGCGAAGTTGCATTCCCGTCTTCGTGTGCGAGTGCCCATGCCATCTTTGTAAATCGTCTGCTTGTTTTAACGTTTTTGTCCACTAATTCCGTTGACATTTCCATGTTTGACAGGCTCCACGGATGTGTGATACCGAGGCACAATTGACGCGCCCAGTCAGCAACAGCCGATTAATGACGTCACGGCAGTCCAGAGAGAGACCTCCAACATGTCATCTCGAAGACAAAAACGCTCGTGACACCTTACTTAGGACGATGCCAAGAGCAAGTAATTCATGTCTAAATGTTCATACTTAAAAAATAAACTATCAACAAGTTCGACCAGTCTGGACAACGGGACGTATTTGTGAGTGCTAAACAAGCTTCTGACAGTGGATACTTTGATACATCAAAATATAATATAGTACTCCATCAGCCATTGTCTGATTGGACTCATGCCCTCATCATGCGGTTGGATAATTTAAAGGATTATAACTTCCATACTTAAAAGATCCACGATGTGTAGGTGGATGTGTAAAAGTCAAGGGTTTGAGACATTTGATTATCAATTTAAGCATTTAATCTGAGAATGTCAAAGGGAAGTTGTTGACAGATAATTGTTGACTGCTGACATACAGTGGGAGACCAAGCTATGTGACACATCAATTAATGCCCTTGCAGCTGTTTCAACCGGAACCATAAGCAGCTGATGTATGCAAGCTGAGATCAGGAACCTCGTTTGGGAGCTGAGAATAGAAACTGTGTGTTTGAGCTGAGTTTAGTAGCTGTGTGTTTGATCTGAGTTTCGGAGCTGAGACAAGGAGCTGATTGTAGTAGCTGTGTGTTTGATCTGAGTTTCGGAGCTGAGACAAGGAACTGAGATCAGGAGCTGATTGTAGTAGCTGTGTGTTTGATCTGAGTTTTGGAGCTGAGTTTTAGAGCTGAGACCAGGAGTTGAGTGTAGAAGCTGAGTCAATGAGATTAGTCCAGTTAGAGCTGAATCCAAGAGCTGAGTTCTGGAGACAAGTTCAGGAGCAGAGGTTAGGAGTTGTCCTAGAGTTTACTGAGGCATTGACTGGAGGATAAACAAAACCTTCTATCTGGAAAAACATGTTCCATCATACATGCAGCAGTGACAACCTCACAACATCTTCAGCGTAACATCATGGTGGCGGAATGGATTGCCTGTCTGGACAAGAGGTGAGTCTGTGTGTTGTGATGTGATTGGTGGAAAAACCTGGCTAAAGGAAGTCATTGAGCAATACCCAAAGGCTGGAGTGAGTGAGTTGGGTTTAATGCCGCTTCTAGCAGTATTCCAGTTATAATGTGGCGTGTCAGATTAAAGTGATGCAGGTCTCAGACGTTGACCACTTCGGTGAAACCCACGAGCACGGGTATGGTGCTGACAAACCTAGAAACATAATCGGTGCAAACTGGGATTCAAACCCACAATCATAGGTTTCTGGCGTGTCCAAGTGACGCAACTCTGCACAGCGAATCGCGGTGCCTTAGACGACTGGGCCACCCGTTCCCCCCAAAGGCTGGAAGACCTTGAGTAACATGTGACTAAAATATGTCAAAACTAAGTTCCCTTTGTGCATATGCTGTTCCCAGTAGGAGCAAAGGAAAGCCAGAAATAACTTTTGATGTAGGGCTTGCTTTGGAAGCCAGCAGCTTGGAGTGACCTCTTGATGGCTACCTTTTATATGAGATTTGATCATGGAAATCTCCTGCACATTTTTCTTGATAAGAATGTTTTTTCTTAATGTACACTAGAAAACAGTAGCATTTGACTTGGCAATATTGATACCGCATTAATCATACATGAAGGTTAGTATCTGTTTGAATTAGTATTTCCTCTCCACATTCTGGTCACCATATGGGTTCAGTTGTTGCCATGGTTACAGAAACATATACATATGATGTCATTCATTGTATCATGACGTCATCACATTCCAGAATAAATGGTGAAAATTGCCCCAGACAATTTGGAAAACACGGCTTAACAATAAATAATCTAAATCACTATGAATGGTTTGTTTTTTTTCTTCAAAATTTGGGTCCGTTTTCTCCAAAAGGTGAGTCCATTTTCACTAACATTCAGGACCATTTTTCTCAAAACTGGCTAAGGCTATTATTGCAAGGGGCCATTTTCTCCTGCTTCTGTGACATCACATAAGTCTCACAACTGTGAATCTCACATAGGTCTTTAGCAACCCATGCTTGCCGTAAAAGGCGACTTATATGCTAACGGAATCGGTTGGTCAGGCTCGCTGACTTGGTTGTCATTCTATCCCAATTGGGTGGATCGATGCTCATGATGTCAATCACTGGATTGTCTGGTCCAGACTCAATTAATTACAGACCTTAGCCATTTAGCTGGAATCTCACATAGACTTGCTATTGAAAATATATGATCACTTTGTAATTTGCAACGTCATTAAACATCTGTTTTGCAGATGTTATTGACTATTTGATGTGTCAAAATTTTGACATTGGAAACCTGGGTGGATAATGTTTATGGACTGGTATGTAAATGGTATGTACTGGCAGATCAACAGAGGGATCACAGGCACTGTCAATATGGGTCATGCAGGCCAAACCCTGGATCTGCCTCTGGTATGTCATATTCCAGCAGGTCACAGGAGACTGTACCAGTGTAATCTATTTTCAAAGGTCCTTCTAATGGTGCTAATATTTCCTTGTGATCTGAAATGAACTTACAGTTAAGCAGTTAAGTTATTGATTCTGCTGACTTCCCTTCTCCACTTCCTTCGGCTATCTCCCATTATGTCTTAATCAGAGAATCATGTACTTTCAGTAGACAATAATACATATGACCGCCTCCATGGTCTAACAGTAGAATGTCTGCATGGAGAGCAGAAGGTCTGGGGTTCCATCCCACGTCATACCAAAAGACGTTAAAACGATGGTACTTGTTGTCACCTTGCCTGGCGCTCAGCATTAAGGGGGTAAAACCAGGACTGGTCGGCTTGGTGTCAGTATTCTGAATGTGTATGCACATCGCTATGTAAGTGCAATAATCTTGAATGCAACCTTAAACCCCATTTCACCTCACCTCACCCAATAATGCATATAAATTAGCAACCCAAAGAGATCTATTGTTGCAAATGTGTTCATTTGTTCAGCCCAGATAGTGAAGTTCACAACTGACTTAAAAACCTTGCAGACCCTTGCATTGCTGGTTAGACAGGACAGGTTACCTCAAAATCTGGAAAAGTTTCTGGAAAATACAGGTCTGATTATGAATGGATAAAGATTGGTCAGCTGATGACAAATGATTGGTCAATAATTCCACCTTGATTAGAAAACACTAATTCCAGGGTTGGACAAAGCCACTAAACCACTAGTCAGAGACAAGGGGTATTTGGAGACATCGCTTCTGATGTCTTTCTCTTCATTATGGGTGTTTTAGCAAAACTTTCTATAGATATAGATTCAATAGATTCTCCTGCAAGACAAAGGTTAGAATCTTTTACATGATGAAGCATGTTTAATTTACACTGCACACCTGACAACATCTTGGAAAAAGCTTTGGAAGAACCAAAAATGTAACTTAAACGTGGTTCTTATTTTATTTTTTTCCCCACGTACCAACCAGGAAGGTTTTACAAAACAAATTGTGAGGATTCGGGGATAGTAACCTGTGGTTGGTGTTATTGTTTTTGTTATTTGTTTGACTGGCATTACGCAACAAACAACCAAACGCACAACAATCTTTAAGTCTGTGGAGACATGTGGTCCTTTGTACAGTGCACTGGTCACAAATCTGGTAAACGTCGGGCACGGAGAGTTTTTGTTTGTTGTTTAATGCTGCACTCAGCAATATTCCAGCTTTATGGCAGTGGTCTGTAAATGATTAAGGGACTAGACAATCCAGTGATTGATATCATGAGCATCAATATATGTAATTTGGACACAATAACATGCATCAACCCAAGTCAGCGAGCCTAACCACCCGATCCCGTTAGTGGCCTTTTATGACAAGCATAGTCGCCTCTTATGACAAGCATAGTCTCCTCTTATGACAAGCATTGGTTGCTGAAGTTGTAACCTGGGCCTTCTCGGGTTGTCATGGAGAGTAGTTGGACGGGTGACAATGGTCGGCAGCTTGACTCCAGAGACATTCATGGGCTTCTGTCTTGCACCACTCTGAAGGTGTGTGGTGTTTCCCTAGCCAAGTGACATTGTTTCAAAAAGCATGATACGTATATCCTGTTCACAGTGAATTGGTACCCAGGTGGGATAAGATGATTATGTGACTGTTAACCTCTAGTGTCTCACAGGCAGTGTGGTTGTATACTCCCCAGGGAGCTGAGAATAAAAATAGAGTACATTCTGACCTATTGACCGGGGTAATAGTGCCATGAGGTTCACTTGGTGAAGGGGCTGTGGGGTAGCCTAGCGGTTAAAGCGTTCGCTCATGCCGATTCAAGGCCCGGGTTCGAATCACCACATGGGTACGTAGCCCATTTCTGGTGTTCCCTGTCGTGATCGTGCTGGAATATTGCTAAAAGGAGCGTACTCCCTTACTCACTTGGTGAATGGCGCATGATAAGTGAATTATTATTATTATTATAGTTTTATTAAACCAAGAAATACAAAAATATCTGGTCCTAGTTTCTAGTGAGTTTGCAGCAAGTTACATGTAGTCTTTTAATGCCATGCAGTCCATCATGCTGTGCACAATTACACAACTCAATGGCTGCATTGAGTGTGTGCAGACATCATTACTCTGCCTGCATAACACTGCTGGGAAACATTCAGTGGGGGCATGTGGCCACACTTGTTTACTTGTTTGGTTCATGGCTGGACCACCTGGAACACACATTACCACCAACAACAAAATACGTTCACTTGCCAACTGTACCATTATTGGTATGTTAGAATAATAAAAGGATTCTGCTAAATAGCATTAATAGGTCGTAGCTTTGTAAACACTATGTTCCTAATCTAATAATTAATTTCTTACAGGGTTTGCACAGGCTTGAAAAGGCCTTGCATTGGCATTTACCTTGAAAAGGCCTTAAAATGAACAAAATGTCTTGAAAAGACCTTGAAATACTTCTTAGTTACACATCCAATTGTATTTTACTAATTATATACAAAACCTGAACATGCTTGAGATTGTCCGTGAAAACATATGCAATAATGCTTCATGATAATGAGTTAATTAAACTTTCTGGCTGATTTTGCATTCCTTGTTTGCATGTTTGTATCACAATTGCATAGATCAATGCTCATGATGTTAATCTGGTCCAGATTCAGTTATTTACAGACCGCTGTCATGCAGCAGGAATATTGCTGAGTGCGGGGTGAAAACCAAACAAGCAGTCAAATGCAATTGTGATCAGGAATGAGTAACTTTCCTATATATTACGTCACATTACTCATTTGCCTTGAATTTCACTGAAAGTGCCTTGAAAAGACCTTGAATTGGTAGAGGACTAATCTGTACCATCCCTGTCTTTTGTATGGCCTTAACGTTTTCAACAATAGCTGATGAAAACATGGCAGTTTTGTGGCCTCCTCAATCATCCAGTGTAACATATCTCTATCTGTTGTGACAAAGAGCCTGGACTGTTTCACAGGTATTGCCATCCCCCATCTCTTTCATCACTAATCTAACACAGACTGTCCCTTGGTGATCAGTGTCATTTGATTGGATGGCAAATATAGTTTCATGTCATTTGCATTGTGCTCAAAACCATGTTAGGGTAGCAAATGGGTGTATATCATGATATAATGAAGATATCCTACCCTGGATTATTGAGGATGTTCTCCAGCCACTGCAGTCATCTACTGAAGAAAAGCAACCCTTATGAGACAGATGTGAAGATATACAATTGGAGAAAGGTCCAGCGCCATCTCTTCTTTATTTTCATATATCCCGAATTTCCTTGTATATTTTGGCAATACATATAGCCTATATGACATTGATGTCATTTGTTAAATGTCTTGGGGGCACGGGTGGCCTAGTCGTCTAAGGTGCTGCGATTCGCTGTGCAGACTTGCATCCCCTGGACACGCAAGAAACCTATGATTGGGGGTTCGAATCCCGGTTCGCCCCAATTATGTTTCTAGGTTTGTCAGCACCATTACCGTGCTCGTGGGTTTCACCAAAGTGGTAAACGTCTGAGACCTGCATCACTTCAGGCTTTCCTCCCACATTAAGCTGA